GCAGCGTGCAGTATCACGTGTCTAAACAAATAGCACGTGCTGTCAGTGATTTCAACCACTAGAGGCCGCTCTCGTACTGTATAATGACAGCAGACCCTTCTCAGCCGTTCCAGCAACGGACGCAACCCGGAAAACTATCGGCATGGATTTTTGCCGATAACGATAGTTCCAGCAAAAAACTATCGGTGCCGATTAATCGGCAAAACCGATACATCGGTCGACCTCTAGTGTTGAGTCACATCCTAAAGTTCCCTCCTGCACTACTATGTAGTGTACAGGTAACTATTAGGCGGAGCGGTTTTGTGGTTTTGCTGTGGAAAATCTGATCTGGAAGTTTTTCTGTCTTACTGAGTGAAATTGCAATATCGCGTCTAGAATTTTTCATCTTGTTCTTCATTTCTGCAGTGACACCATACTGTCTGACCAACACTTGGCCTTTTGTTTTCCAGTGCACTGATGCGTTTTGTGTGTGTATTTGAGAGTCGGCCAAATGAGTTTTGTCTTCCAGCTGCTTTGGGCAAGTCAGCATCAAGCACCAGAGCAACTATCCTGGTCCGGTGTAATGGAGCGTGCGTGTGTTGGTATAATGGCTTTCAGCAGGTGGATAGGGTCATAACTTGGGCATTAAATCTTGCTGTAACGAAGGAAACCAAACCTGTCTGTCCAGTCACACTAGGGATGGGCGATATGGGCTTTAAAATATATAACGATAATTTCTGATATTTATTGCGATAACGATATCAATGACGATAATTTAGGGAATCCTGTTTTTTCCTATATTTACCAAAATAGGGTGTTACACATAATGTAATGACTGTTTAATTCATACTGGAAGCCGGAGGGCGCCTTTGCGCAGAAACTTCACATATACATAGTAGAAGTAATGCTCCAGGAAGAAGTATCCAGTGATCGCTGTAGCTGAATAAAACGCAGATAAAGAAATTTTAACTTAGGAAACCTGAAGACAATAAACATGCGATTGCAAAAAATATATGGCATCTGTGTTCTTTAAGCAATCTTGGCTATTTTTTATAAGGATAAAGTATATTTATAATGCAATGCTAATCGACATAGCCTTTATCACTGTATATAATGCTATAAAATAGTATGATTTCTGCCTTATTCTGTGATACGAAACCACGTCTGATCACAAAAATAAGTTATTTCAAACACTCGACTATGTTATGAAGTTAATATGGAGAAAAAGCATGTCAATAAATTAAAATATCTTTGTTGGACAACAGGTTTGTAAACGACTCATACACATGTAAAACTGTGTCGCACACGTGCTACTGTAGTACATTTACTCAAGGCTCAGACCGATTGTTGTCTCTGTACAGCCCTATCCAAACCTTCTCCAGATTGTAGAAGGAGCTGCTCAATTTCACGTCCGCCTTCCTTCACGTCACTCCACACAGTCGTACACAGAAATATGTCAACAACTAGACTTTATCGTTATTATCGCGGGAAGACGAATTCTTATCATGTGGAGAATTTTTACCGGTATATCGCAAACGATAAGATATTGCCCATCCCTAAGCCACACATACAAGGATCAGCATTGGGAATATGCATGTCTTGTTGTGTTGATATTGTTCTCATTTCACTATTAGTTCATAAGGGAATATGCTGTAATTACAGCTCTTTTTATGCTTGTTCCTTTCTTTTCTCTATTTGTCTCTACGCAAGCACAGCACACGCTCTCATGCATGTTTGAAACTAACATGTGACGAACGTTCCCATCTCTGTGACCGTTGGGAGCACAATTATAATCTCTCATTGGGAATACAGAGAGCTGTAAACAGTGCTGTTCCAATCGTGGCTGTGAAGGAGGCCTCGGGACATTCAGCTACTTCAAAAACACTCTTCTTGTAGTCTTGTGATTGTCTGAAGACATTAAAATAAGTCATTTGAAATTCCAAAGCTGTAATGTTGTGCATTATTAATATTTTAAAACACAGAGCATGCTCTCATGTATGTTAGTCTTTGATTATTGAGACATTTTGGTCACTGAATGTCCAAGTTATTTGACAATGAAAATATTAAATGTTAATATTGACAGACACATTCTACATTATAATGACTTTATAATACATGAGGTAATTTAGGGCTGGACACAATAATTCAATATCAATATGTATCGCAATATAATTTTTTTCAATAACGGTGATATGATTTTTAAACAATACGTTTTCATTTTAAATAAGCCCGTCTCCAGCAAGGTTATTTTCATAAACGAAAACTAAAAAAAAAATCTAAATAAATTGATGTGTGTCGGTTTAGGGAAATACCCGTAAATGGCGCATCATGCACGTGAGGTTATCTGACGGAGAGACGCAAAGCAGTTTAAAGCAGAGTCCTGCACGGATCCTGTTAGGTAAACCTGCATCCGCAGTACACAACAGAACACCCGACCCGTTATCCGACAGCAGCCAGCACACCCATTTAATTCTGTTCTGACCCGGTTTGACATAAAGACCGCAACCTGAACCGCACCCGCATTAAATAGGCTACTGCATCAGTAAGGCAAAATTATTTATTTTCTCATGTGACGCAAGCAATCAAACCAAAATAGGCATTTTAAGTTGGTGCTTTGAAGAGAAATAGACAAGCAGCGCAACAGAATAATGACAAGAACGCGCATTCTTCCTGTATACAATACAAACTTTTGCCTACATCTTGTGAACAATCTGCCAGGCTGTTTTGAACAAATGTGCATAAACTACATACTTAAATCTTCATAAATGAAAAAAACATACTTAGATATGACTTTACTGTTTAGTGCCATTGTCTCTCCTTAAACTCTGCAGTGTATAGGCTATGCGGCCGTTAGTCCTTTACAGAAGCATTAAAAATAAATCTTAAACATAAAATGATATAGGCTACAGAAAGCGAGCAACGAGTAATAATGCCTACCGAATAACGAAAGTGTTGTCTCTTAAAAAATATTATTATTATAATATTATTAATAATAGTATGAAATAAATGCATAAATTATAGTAAAGGATTGTCAGTACATGATGCACATTGTCTGTTTTTAAGTATTTTTGGAGATTATGCAAATGACTGTTTATTAAAGTCAGCAATTTTGTGTATTTGTGTCATTTGCTGAGATTATGTGGTCGTATAGATATAGATTCAAGATATCTTGATATTAGCGGTGGTCATTGGACACCAATATAAGCCTCTTTAAGGGGTCCAATTATACTTTTTCACTTTTTTAATTGTAGTCAGTGTGTAGTGTGTATGTTTGAGCATAAAAAGGTCTAGAAAGTTACAAATCTCAAAGTCCACTCCAAAGGGAGATATTTCGTTTAAAAAAAATCCCTTTTCAAGAACTACATCGAGCGGCTCGTTTGGACTACAGCGTTTGTCTTCCGGGCTTTGTGATATCACAAAGCGGCTCATTGGAATATCATTACAAATAATTACTACAGAAATTCGAATTGTTGGAGGGTGGGGAGGGGCGAGGAGGTGGTTAGAACGCTAGGTTGAGTGAGTGCATCAGACGAGACGATGAAGAAGAAGTGCTGCTGCAGAGTTAGTGCATCAGAGAAAACCAAGAAGAAGAGCTGCTGTGCTGTAGCTTCAAATTTTCGGCATGTCTAGAACAATTCTTACAAGTATAACACGACGTAGCTGGACGCCGAGGACAGATGCCGAACGGCGCCGCCGGTGTGCCTACACTCATAGAAAATAAAGTATTTGAATTTTAAAGATGTGACGCGACGCTGCGCTTCTCGTCCGGTGCGTGACCGCCTGAACCGCTGTTTTTTTCACCTCCGTGCCCAAACGTCTTTGTTTGGGCTTCCGAAAGCGGATGATGTCAGGAAACAGTGGTTGCAATTTGTTTTTCAACTCTGTTCCTGAGCATTATAACCCCAATTTGCTATTGTGTGCTGCGCATTTTACTGAGGACAGCTTCCACAACATAAGGGAGTACAGTGCCGGATTTGCCCAAAAGTTTTTGTTGAAAGATGGAGTAAGGGGCGTGGCAGTACTGAAACACCGTCAAAGCTGTTCGCCAATCACAACGCACTGGGACAGCTAACCAATCACAACACATTTTGTTTTTCGGAAGGCGGACCTTCATCAAAGCCGGAACTAATCGAGCCGTTTGTGCCAGGATGGGGAGAAAGTTATTTTAATAATGTGAATTATGTGAAAAACAATGCGTTTTTCGAACCACCAAGCATGAGAGCATGTTCTAGTACACCCCCAAAACAAAATCAAGACTTTGTAAAAGAGCATAATAGGACCCCTTTAAAATGAAATTTAGATGTAGGCTTGTGGTGTTGTAGATGTGAGTGTAATGTTGTGTTAGAGGTTGGTCCGGTAAACTAATCTGCCTAGCTGTGTTACATTCACAGCTGTTTCCTCACCTGGTTAATCTAGTCCTGTGTTATAGTGGTATGGTGAGGAAATTTGCCATTTGGACGGTTGACAAGAAGTCAGTCGGCAGTGGAGAGGTCACGTCAACCAGAATCAGCCAATTAGGATCACGAGGAAATGTTCCTGCTAATGAGCAGATTCATCACAGAACTTGCTTCTGTAACCTTTAAAGTTCATTCGGTGTAGATTTTGTCAATATGATTTAAACCAAGAAGTGTTGAAGAATCAAAAGAACTGATTCTTTAAAAGACTCAGAAATCTTTCTATGTGAATTAGGCTACAGAATGTAAATTAAGCTGCAGTTTGTGTATGCATAATGAGCCATCATTCATTCTCTGTCTCGCTTTCTCTCCAGGGAAAGCCGTATATGTTTGATCGAGTATTTCAGTCTAACACTACTCAGGAGCAGGTTTACAACGCTTGTGCTCAGAAGATTGTTAAAGGTGAGAAAGGAGTCCTCCAGGAGACATGGCATCTGGATCACATGATTCAGGAAATAGTTATAATTAATTGACTCCAAAAAAAAAAAAACTTTCATGTTTCCATTAATATGTAATCATTAATAATTCATTGATATGAATTAAGCATCACTAAATACCGTATTTCTTGTATGGGGCATTTATTCAAATGGAATATTTTGCTGTGTTTGTGCCCTGCAGATGTGCTTGAGGGTTATAACGGTACAATATTTGCTTATGGACAAACCTCTTCTGGAAAAACACACACTATGGAGGTGAGAATTCCTCTAGAAATAAACATATTCAGAGTCAAAAATAATTGTTTACTGCAACGGGCAGTATGATTTTCAACAACTAGCTACTTTAAAACAAGCTAAGTGTGTTTTTGTTACTGATTTCACTGATTCCATTTTTGCTAATTATGACTATCAGTATATTTACTGTACCGTAAATCATCAGACATTATCATAGCATTTGAATTCGTGTTTGTGCAATTGTTTAGGGAAACCTGCACGATCCAGATGGCATGGGCATTATTCCGCGGATCGTCCAGGATATATTCAACTACATTTACTCCATGGATGAAAACCTGGAATTCCATATCAAGGTTTGAAATGAACAAAAATAAGTGCTAAATACTCACAGGGTTCCCACTGACATTTTCAGACATGGAAAAAATGACTTGAAATTTTAAAGGTCAAAAGTTGTAGGAAGCTTGGTGAGTCAATGACGTGACGCCTACATTTTCTGTCTGTTTGCATTTTTTCAGTTAAAAATTGGTTTAAATGCATAAAAAAGATGCCATATATATGAAGAACCTCTCCCATGTATGAACTCACTTTAACTTTTCAAAAAACATTAGTTATTTGTAATTTTTCTGTTATTCAAAGTGTCAAAATATCATGTGGTGCGACCGTCCGGCCATAACTTTTTTTTTTTTAAAACATCTTTGAAATTACCCTAAATTTATTCAAATTAATTGTATGCACTATTTGGCATGATTTCCAGTGTTTTGTAATCCTGTGTAAAATTGCAAAGCATTTGTATTTATATTTCCATCATAATATAAAAACAAACTTTGTCCGATGATGTCCATTTTATGAAATATCATGTGGTGCGACCATCAAGAAACTACCATTTTGGGACTTTTATGTTGAAATCCATTCAAAGATAGGACTTTCCGTCATACACCAATTTGCTAAGGACCCATGGAAGCATCAAGCAGGTTTATAAGTCTCTTTCAAATTTGAAAAAAAAAAAACTTTTTAACGACTGTTATGTAGTTACCACATTTGGATATCATGTGGTATGACCTTAAAAAAACAATGAATATTAAGTTATTTCTGCAAGTATTTATTTTCATTATAAATTTCATAGTGACCTTTTGTGGGAAGCTAGCTTGTTTTGTTTAGGTGGCCAATTCTGTGCTTGTAAATTTTGACTGAATTTGAAAATATCATGTGGTGCAACCAAATATCATGTGGTGCGACCACTGCAGAGTGTATTCCATTATAGATATATGTCCCAGACTGGCAGTTTTTGTGCTTTTATATTCAATTGATGGTTTATATACATAAAATATCTTATTTTAGTATAATTTGGAATAGATTTTTATGCAATTTGGGTCATTTCAGACGGTTTATGTTTAATCTTTGTACAATATGAGAAGAAATGCAAAAATAATTCAGAGCGTGTAATTTTAGTTGAGTAATTATGCATTTATTAGTAATTTATTATTTATTTATTAATAACTATTTAAATCTATTCTGTCAGATTCCACTGCCTAGCAAAGTAAAATAAACGCTCACCATAGGCAGCATGCTAATTCTGACCCTGCACTCTAGCACAAAGTCCAGATGTCATTTTCTACTATAAGAAAGATTTTCATGTTGTTATCTCAGAACCTGAGCCAGCAACCTCCCCCTACTCTAAATTGACCCATCGCAAAGACCTGCCCCCCTTAGTTACTGTTGCTACGTCCAACAAACCATGGCACTTTTATGCCATACATCATGTTCTTACGCATTGAAAAATACATCACAGAGCAAAGAGGACACTGGCAATGAGCTGACAGACAAGACAGAGCTGGTTACTTTTAGTATGAAACAAAGTCTCAGTGTTCAAATTTTGTCATTTTTAAAAAAAAAATTAAACAACAAATACAGTTTTGTGGCTCTTTAACATGTCGTGACAGATCCCTGTTGCGCCTCAGTTCAAGCGGCACATGAACTGACCTTCTCTTCATCTTTACTATTCATAGCACGAAATAAACATGAATGAATATCAGAAGGTATCTTGTTTCAACCATGAAAATGTCAATACACACCATTTTTCAAGTTCACTGACGTTAATCTACTCTCCTGTCTGGTTTGTTTGTTGGACAAAAATGATGGATTCGGCGTTATGATATGTCGGACTGCCTGTTAATCAAACTCCCGGCGAAAGGGTCAATTGAGCAGCCAATACTGGGCAAAGTACAGAAATAACTGGGGCTAAAGAAATGCCTGCAGTTAATGCCACATGCTGCACTGTCTCTTTAAATAGATTTTTTAATGATATAACGTCTTTGTGTCATTTGGAGTGACCACTCATCATGTGGTGCGACCAATAATAGCAATAACTGTATTAAATAAAAAATAAAATATCTAATTTCTGTGGTTGAAATATGAATCACTGCTACAGTATGCTTAAGTGAATGGTATTTTTAAAACATTTTTATCAGTTTTATGCAATTTACAGGAAAAAGAAGTCTGTTAACTACATTTAAGAAGGCAACTCTGAAATTATAGAACAAAAAAAGAGAATTATTTACAAAAACTCAAATGAAATGCAAATACTTGTTTCTAAACACTTTAATTACTGAGAACATTTTAAAAAATGTTAAGGAAATTATTTAATTTTAATATAAATCATGGTCGCACCACATCACAATTTTTAAGGCTACGGCCAATTCATCTAGATGAAAAAACACTAAAATCACTTAATTTTACATTTTAATATGAATTTGTGTACACAACATTCTTAATGTTTGAACAATTATACATATATACATATAAAATTATAATATTTCACAATATTAAAATAAATGCAGCCTTGGTAAGACTTTCTTTGTAATAATTTTTCAAAAAACATTAAAAAAATCTTACTGACCCCAAACTTTTGCACAGCAGTGTATTAATTTCAGACAGCTGGTAATGAAATTCACAGAGCTCTTCTGCATTGACAGGTCTCCTATTTTGAGATTTACCTGGACAAGATCAGGGATTTGCTGGATGGTACGTATGACTGAATATGATACAGATTCTATTGTGTTTGCATTGGTTTTTATTTTAGAGATTGTTTAATCTGAGTGTGATCTGTCGTCTAAAATAATAATGATAATACATAATTTTTCTTTCAGTGTCTAAGACCAATCTGTCTGTACATGAAGACAAGAACAGAGTCCCTTATGTAAAGGTGAGGCTGTGTTTTAGTAATTAGCTGTGCATGTATTAGTAAAGGAGTGGTTCAAATGTTTTCCCTGTCTATCTCTTTCTCCATCTGCAGGGTTGTACTGAACGGTTTGTGTGTAGCCCAGACGAAGTGATGGACACCATTGATGAAGGCAAATCCAACAGACACGTGGCTGTCACAAGTAAGCCCATGCAAATCAGTCGGACACACTGCATAGCTGTTTTTAACAGGCTGAATCTTTCCACACCTGTTGCTGTCTGAGTTGTGCGAGAGTAGTGTTAGGATGTTCTTTCTTATTTGATTTATTGAGTTGAGTGGAAATGGAAACTTGTGTTTTCTCTGTGGTGTGTGTCAGACATGAACGAGCACAGCTCCAGGAGTCACAGTATCTTCCTGATAAACGTCAAGCAAGAGAACTCACAGACGGAGCAGAAACTGAGTGGCAAACTCTTCCTGGTGGATTTAGCAGGAAGCGAGAAGGTTATCATTCTACTTCTCTCTTTTCACTTCCTCTTTCCCTCTTTCACTTGTTCTCTCTCTTTCTTTTTTAAACCCATTTACAGACATTTTCAATTATTCTCAGCTGGTTTCACTTCAGGACCCATAATAGTGTATGTGATTTGATTAGTTCCTTATTAATGTTAGTTTTATTTTGTGGCAGGTCAGTAAAACCGGAGCAGAGGGTGCTTTATTGGATGAAGCCAAAAACATTAACAAATCTCTTTCCGCTCTGGGCAACGTCATCTCTGCTCTAGCTGAAGGAACGGTAGGTGTGATGCACCTGAGCTGTACAATTCACCACCCTGCATCTTATTTGCTGAATGAAATCCAGAACTTGTTTCTTAGTAGTTTTGGGGTGCTGATTCGAATGATAGTCCCTGTTTTGCTCAAGCGCACTTTCTTACAAATTATGATTTACATTTCGTAGCATTTTTGCTTTCCACAAACAATTGTAAGGTGAAGTCATCATAAAAACTGACACGAAGACATGATTCCCATCTTCCTCTGAGCTAGGTTACAGTTATGTTCAATTCCCTGCCATTTTCACACATATGAATGAATCTGGAGGCATTATAACATGTCTAATACTGATTTCAAGGTTAGAGTTATGGCCATTGACAGAAGAAAATGCAAGCATGACCCAAATGATTTCTGCAGAATCTGTGGGTGTTTTACTACATCCAAACAGTGGCAGAAAATGACAGATTCTCTGAAAAGTGCTTATTTATTTATACATTTGTGTATATGTAAAGTTCTTTGACATTAAACATATTTTTCCACTCCTTTGCAGATTATAATTTAAATGATGCATTTAAACTTTTGAGATTTGTCTTATTTTATTTTGACAAGTGCGTTAAAGCTGATGCATGTATATAATTTGAAAAAATATTATAAAAAAAAAAAAACTGTGTGATGGCAGTTTGTATTTATTTTTATTTGACTCTGACTCTAATTTTTATTAGGTGATATTGGGTCTTTTTTGTATATCAGCATCATTTCTTTTTCAAGATGCAGGGCTGTGTTATATATGATCAGCTGCGTCATTAAATGGATAGACAGATAATGATTGAATATTTCTTTCCCCTGTCAGACGTACGTTCCCTACAGAGACAGTAAGATGACGAGGATCTTGCAGGATTCTCTGGGTGGAAACTGCAGGACAACTATAGTGATCTGCTGCTCTCCATCTTCCTTCAACGAGGCCGAGACCAAAACTACGCTCATGTTCGGACAGAGGTGATGAGATATAAACAGACTGAGAGTTTTAATTAAACTTTCGTTTTGAGTGACAAGTAATTTTTTCAATTTTTCACTGTTCTCAGAGCAAAGACCATCAAGAACACAGTGTGTGTGAACGTGGAGCTGACAGCTGAGCAGTGGAAGAAGAAATATGAGAAGGAGAAAGAGAAGAACAAGACGCTAAAGAACACCATCACCTGGCTGGAGAACGAGCTCAACCGCTGGAGGAACGGTACTGTAATAACACGCGCTTCATACTCATTCTGCTGCATTCACTGAAAATTACACACAACTGTTTTGTGTGTTCTTAGGTGAGAGCGTCCCGATTGAGGAGCAGTACGATAAGGAGAAGGCAAATGCAGATGTTCTGGCCCTGGATAATGTGATGAATAATGATAAATTCACCTCGTCTCCCAGTGTGCCCGGCCTTAAATTGACTGATGCTGAGCGTGAGAAGTGTGAGGCTGAATTGGCCAAACTTTACAAACAGCTGGATGACAAGGTGAGATGAACTACTGACCTTAAATGAATGAAGATTTTGGACATTTGCCTTTGGAATGTAATTGCCAATAATTGTGTTCTGTTGTGGTCTATTAACTAAAGCTTGTATCTTCAAGACCAGTAGTATCTTCATATATTGTCTGAAATAAGAGTCTCATTTCAGCATTTCCCCCCATATCATTTGCTCCGGTTAAATTATTACGAAGAAATATACAGTAGGGATGTGTATTTTTCAAAAACATTGTAATCGAATATTTGGGCTCACAAAAAATTAATAGTCAATGTTCTGTGTTCAAATACCATCAACTTGTTACACAGCGCCACCCAGTGCATTTAATTATTACTGACTTTTACTTTACATGCTTAGGATTTATCATGGATTCCCTGCATTTATGGCCAGCAAAGCAACACGTAGTAAAATTCGAATAGTGTTTTTATTTTTCAAATGATAATTCCAGATCGAATATTTGACTTTGTGCACACCTCTAGTATACAGTACCATTCAAAAAAACGTTTTTACACTTATTCAGCAAGAATGTCTTAAATTGATCATATGTGACAGTAAAGAAATTGATAATGTTATAAAAGTTCTCTATCTCTAATAAATGCTGTCCTTTTGATCTTTCTATTCATCAAAGAATCCTGACGAAAAAATATATCACAGTTTCCACAAAAATATTAAGCAGCATGACTTTTTTTAGCATTGATAATAAGAATAATAATAAGAAATGTTTGTTGAACAGCAAATCAGCATATTAGAATAATTTCTGAAGGATCATGTGACACTAAAGACTGGAGTAATGATGCTGAAAATTCAGCTTTGCAATTAAAGGAATAAATTATATTTAAAAAAAGCAGTTATTTGTATATTTTGAATGGTATTTACATTTATGCTATTAACATTACTTTTGTTCAAATAAATGCAGACTTGGGGAATATAAGAGACTTTAAAAAAAAATCATACTGACCCCAAACTGCATGATATCGACCATCAACCACCCAGCTCTCTTAGACTCTCTTTATTAATAATAATGTAAAAAACAAAGTTCTGTTGTAAAATAGTTAAGATGTGCTTCAAGACTCATTCATTACATTCATTCTGTGTTTCTCTCTCTCTCTCTCTCTCTCTCTCTCTCTCTCTCTCTCTCTCTCTCTCTCTCTGTTGTCTGCCTGTAGGCTGAAGATATAAAATAACAGTCTCAGCAGTC